ATACGGATCATTTGTCCAGTGACCGTACGGATCATTTGTCTAGTGACAATACGGATCATTTGTCCAGTGACAATACGGATCATTTGTCCAGTGACAATACGGATCACTTGTCCAGAGACAATACGTATTTGTTAAGTATAGTTTGGCACAAATCGTAAATATATATATATATATATATAGATAGATAATTGTTAAGTATAGTACGGCACAAATCGTAAAAAAAAAGTGCTATACGTTATACAGTATAGTCGTTCAACAAACATTCCGTAGGGTTTAGTCGCTACTACTTCCTTCATATGCGCTGCTTTCGTCCTCTCGCTCCTCACCTTCGTCGCTGCTCCCCGCTCCTTCACTGCTGCTCTCCGCTTCTTGTTCGTCAATGGAAGCGCTGCTTTCGGCCCTTAGTCCTGTCCCCGATTCTTCGGCCATTTTTACCTCCTGTTCTGCCTCCCTCAGCCTTTTCAGCCGTTCCCGCCGCATATGCTGATAGTACGAGTTCATGCTGTTGAAGAACTTGCCGTGACATTCGCAGTGAACTCTCTCATCTCTTTCTTCATTTTCAGCTTCCTCAGATCTGCTTCTGCACGACCGGAGATGATTTGATAGAGCTCGTCTTGATTCCACCACGAGAAGACAGTTTTCACACATGTATGTGGCAAAGGCAGCAGCTTCCGTTGTGTTTTCCACTTGATGGATTCCTTTAACTAGTACGTAGCAATGAAGTCTGACGTTTTCTTCATCAAACGCCGCACCAGCATGGACGAGGTCTCCACGAAAAATTAATATATCCCCTTTGTCCAGTATTAATTCCTTAGCATCATCCCTGTCAACGACGCTTCCAAAACGTCTGGGGAAAACAATAAATCGGGTTCGAGGCATAAGGGCCACAATAACTGAAGCTTCGATACGCCTTTTCGTCAATAAAGCTTTTGTCGTTTCAAAGGCAGGGAAGTCCTTGTGAGGCCCCTGCCTATCTCCACCAGGTAGCGACTTCAAAGCAGTCCAAGAAGCTTCTTTCATTTCCCACTGATCCTCAGTATCCGTTACAATAGCCTTAACTGCCCCGTGAACCTTTTTCATTGCAGAACCTAGCGTTCCTATAGGAGTTTGTAGTCGCTTCGGATCTCCAGCTCCACTTTCATCAAACACATCGCCAAAAATAGGAGCAAACGCGAGACCTCTCACTTCATGCAACGCTTCATCAAATATATCAACCAGAAGCTTTGACCTCCCTACAACGTAGCCCTCATTCCAGAAAGTAGCAAGCTCCTTCCAATCCATTGCACGAGC